AAGCGGACCTGACCTAGGGTGGATTTTACATTGGGTTTTAAATATTCGGAAGACGCAACATTAAAATTCGGTTTAATTCGGTTTTAAGGGGGGGATTGTATATATGTTCTGGTTTTAAATATGTTGTGCGCTGCCCTGAGTCCCTGTCGGGAGAAGGGCGGCATATAAATTAAATAAAATAAATAAATAAATAAATAAAACCAGTGACCGACCCAGATTGGATCTTGAAATTTTATATGGTTATATTTGCGCCTTACCAAAGCTGTTGGAAGCTCCACATTGGAACAGAGATTGGTGTTTCATGAGCGAGGGTGGACTTGAACCAGATTCACCCCGATTCTGAGGTGAAATTTCTCATCCCTTTGGCCAAATTAAGCAACCACTGATGTGAGAGAAGGGGGAGAGGCTGGGAAACACACAGAAGGAAAAATTGGTATCAACAATCAAGAGGTAGTAGGTTGGTAGTTTTGCATATAAATTGCAACTCAGCCTATAAAGGTGTTGGAAGAAAAGTCTTCATCATGGTTCAGTCCAAGCCGGGGATAAACAACATGGCGATTGCTTTAGAAAGACGGTTGCAGTTTATTGAAGAGAGAGCCAGACAGAAAGATGGCTCTGGCAGAAAAGAAGAGTGAGCACATGTAGGGAGTGGGTTTTTATACCCTCTGGAGCCTTTTGTTTGGAGTTGTTCCCGCGGCATGAACTTTGACCTGAGTCTGAGTGTGCCCTTTGGTATCTCTGTATTAATCCTATTATGTCCTGTCTTAGAGTTTGGGTGGGGTATGTAGATTTTAGGTGTCTTTGTCTTCTTAATCTTCTAGCTCCAACTTTCCTGGATTTATATCAGCATTTCTATAGAGCTGATTTCTGCTTGGGGGAGGGAGACTTGGGGCTATTAAGAAAATCTGGGCATGCTTTTCTGCCTCTTTAAGATCCTTTGAGGAAATATATTTTCCTGCCCTTTTTAATATTTCCTTGTCTGGGGGGCTGACTTCCCACAATGGGAAGACATGTTTCGGATTGTTCAGTGGTGAATTTGCTGGTAGATGGGAAATTTCTTTTTCAAGATTCTCTTATTTACTGAAAAAGTAGCCCTAACCAGGGCTTTTTTTTGTCATACAACGCCCAGAACGGAGTTCCGGCATCTTTTTTGGACGGAACCTTGTAGGGTAGGCAAGGCGGGTTGTATGACGTGTGTGAGTTCCGGCACCTTTTTTTAAAATTTATTTACAAAAAAAGCACTGGCCCTAACGATACCTTATAAAGTCCCAGGTTCCCCGCAATCACTCACAGATAGTGTCAAAGATCAGTTGGAGCTTAATTTGCTCTTCTCATCAGTGCTTAATATACTTGCTTTTTATAACGGGACTGTGGAACTTCGGAGGGGGGTGGGAGAAAGCTGGCTGGATGTATAATAAATGATAAATTTACACGCTCTTCTTTTCAACATTTCAAAGCGTGCCTCAGTTCTATTGAGGGGCCATCTCTTTCTGCAGTAATGATAACATTACAAATAGCCTTGGAATGGATAACTTTAGCAAAGCGTTGCATCCATAAGGACCTCTGCACTCTAGAAAGATTGCAGAGAAGAGCAACAAAGATGATTAGGGGACTGGAGGCTAAAACATATGAAGGACAGTTGCAAGAATTGAGTATGTCTAGTCTAGTGAAAAGAAGGATTAGGGATAACATGATAACAGTCTTCCAATATTTGAGGGGCTGCCACAAGGAAGAGAGAGTCAACCTATTCTCCAAAGTCCCAAAGGCACCTTTGGGATAAGCATGACCTGGATGGTTGAGAATCTCCATAGACTTCTACAGTATTCTCCAGTGTCCTTGAAGGTAAGACAAGAAGCAATGGATGGAAACTAATCAAGGAGAGGACTAACTTAGAACAAAGGAGGAATTTCCTGACAGTGAGAACAATTAACCATTGGAACAGCTTGCCTTTTGCAACTTCTGGTTGTGGGTGCTCCATCACTGAAGATTTTAAATAATTTTTAAAAAAATATTTTAAAGAAAGGATTGGACAGCCATTTGTCTGAAATGGTATAGGGCAGTGGTAGGCAACCTTGGCTCTTTTATGACTCGTGGACTTCAACTCCCAGAATTCCTCAGCCAGCATAGCTCAGCTTGGAAACCTCTCCCTTTCCCCTCAGCATGGCTGGCTCAGGAATTCTGGGAGTTGAAGTCCACGAGTCTTAAAAGAGCCAAGGTTGCCTACCCCTGGTATAGGGTCTCCTGCTTGATCAGGGGGTTGGACTAGAAGACCTCCAAGGTCTCTTCCAGCTCTATTCTATTCTTCGATATTCAACCATAGAGATGTACTGAATGGACATCAACTCCCAGAATTCTCCACCAGCATGGTCATTGCTAAGAACGGTGGAAATTCAAATCCACGGCACGGCTTCTCACGGTGAGTCTGGTTACTAAAAGTCAAGCTCTGGGAAGCACTCATGTCAGTTTTTGAAGGACCAGATGGGTCTGCTTCCCTTGTGGTGAAAATGAGGAAATATCTTAAAAGTAAATAATGAGTAATGTTGCAAAGACGAGGGATAGTGGAATACTTATTCCTACCGCTCTAATCTTTCCTCTTCCTCTCTTCTCCTCCTTCATCCCACCCCCTTGTTTTTCCAGTCAATCTTGGTCTTACTGCAACAGCCGGTATCATTGGAGGCCTCCTCTTAATAGGAAGCTGGTGGCGATTTGGTCTTGTGATCCCGTGTATGCTAATTGTAGGAGTAGTGTTGGGGTTTCTTGTGTCCTCTTCGTTTTTCTTCACTCCAATAGGTAAGCGATAGAAACATTTCCGCGATACTCACTTAAATTTGAACATCTAAGAAGCATTCTTCATTGAGAAACAAATTGCCAAGGCATCCATATAATGATAGTGGCCCATGAACGGACCTCATGCTTTAAAATAATTTGCAATTTTTTTTTAAAAAAAAGTTCTATTTGTAATGGTAGTAATTAAACACTTGTATAAAATGTATCCAATTAGAGAAATCTGTGGTTTTTTTTTAAAAAAATGAACTAGTTATAACCTAGAATAGGGTAAAAGAAATGGAAGAAGAACTAGTTATAACCTAGAATAAGAAGAATTAGTTATAACCTAGAATAGGCGAAAAGAAAATGGAAGAAGAACTAGTTATAACCTAGAATAGGCGAAAAGAAAATGGAGGAACTAGTTATAACCTAGAATAGGCAAAAATAAAATGGAAGAACTAGTTATAACCTAGAATAAGCGAAAAGAAAATGGAAGAACGAGTTATAACCTAGAATAGGCAAAAATAAAATGGAACTAGTTAAAACCTAGAATAGGCGAAAAGAAAATGGAAGAACAACTAGTTATAACCTAGAATAGGCAAAAATAAAATGGAAGAAGAACTAGTTATAACCTAGAATAGGCAAAAATAAAATGGAAGAACTAGTTAAAACCTAGAATAGGCGAAAAGAAAATGGAAGAACAACTAGTTATAACCTAGAATAGGCAAAAATAAAATGGAAGAAGAACTAGTTATAACCTAGAATAGGCTAAAAAGAAAACTGGCCTAATTCAGGTAGTCCTCAACTTACAACAGTTCATTTAGTGATCGTTCAAAGTTACAATGGCATTGAAAAAAGTGAGTTATGACCATTTTCGTAACTTTGCAGTTATCCTCATGATCATGTGATCAAAATTCAGTTGCTTGGCAACTGGTTCACATTTATGACGATCGCAGTGTCTTGGGAGGTCATGTAACCCCCTTTTGTGACCTGACAAGCAAAGTCAGTGGGGAAACCCGATTCATTTAACGACCGTGATACTAACTGCAGTGATTCACTTAACAACTGTGGCAAGAAAGGTCATCAAATGGGGCAAAGCTCACTTAAAAAATGTCTCACTTAGCAACAGAATTTTTGGGCTCAATTGTGATCGTTAAGTCGAGGACTGCCTGTATCTTTGTTATTTGATGTTTGTACATAAATGGCACATTCAAAATAAGATGGAAATCATTTACTCTGTTGTATTATATATAATTTTCCAGGCTTGCAAATTTGAGTTGTTTTACACTCTGCGTGGCACTGAAAAAGTAACTTACAAGCGGTCCTCGCACTTATGACTGTTGCAGCATCCCCAGTCACGTGATCAGAATTTGGTTCCATCGCTTAATGACTGCAATGATTTGGTTAGCTATGTTAAAAAGATTGTAAAATTGGGGCGTGAGTCATTGAACAATCCCTTTGCTTAGCGATGAAAATTCTGCCAAAATCTCCACTCCTGAGTCATTTTTTAAGTGCAAGTCAGCTGTCCTTGAAGCAAAATTATGAAATTTCTAACACACACACACACACACACATGAGTCTTTTCTTTAGGGAGGAAACTTCCTAGGTTGATCTTCCTGTTAGAATTTGACAAAGTGGCAGTTGTGGACAGAGGCAAGAAGCTGTGTCACAATTCTGTGTTCATTGTTCCAGGAGACTACAGAATTTTTCAAGACGATGCTGTTTACTGGGTCTCTTTCTGTTGTGTCGCCTTGGTGATTCCAGTAATTTTTGTCTGCTGCCCCAGAGTTGTAAGTATTTCTTGCAGCTGAACATGAATTTCAATTTTCCTAGGCTGGGAGGGGAAGCCGATGCCACAACCGAATTATCTTCAGCAAACTTCGGCCTTGTGATTTACAACTCTGGCCGTTAACTTCTCATAAAAAGGCCATCATCCAGGAAGGCTATATTCAAGATGGGAGGATGGCTGAGGTTGGTCTATTGTTATGTCCCAAATGGGGAAATATATATATATATATACACACACACACACACAGTAGTGGCCAAAATTGTGGAAACCTTTTGGGAAAAGTGTACAGTAGAAATGCCACCTTTGGTTAAGTTTCCACCCATTTTTCTTCTAATTTCTTTACAACTGTAGCCTTGTTCCCTTAATAATACTATTTTACATCGCTTGCTGGGCGACCAGTCAAGTCTTTGCACCATGACTTTAATTTTATTACGTTTTACAAGCTCACTAAATGAAAGAACACAAAAAACCCCAACCAACTTGATAGCCATCACATAACACACTGACAAATGTCCTCCTCTCAGCTTCAATACATGACATCAATCACTGGATCTTACTGTGATCTGATTGGCTCATTGCCAAAGCAAGATGACACCTGATTGGCTCTCTAAACATCATGCTCATTGGCTACAATCAGATGAAGGAAAGCTACCTGAGATCAACCTGAGCAAGTTGTGCTTCCTTTTTCTGGTTATTTGGCTATAACGTTTCATAGATTACAGATAATTGAACAAACCTTGTTGCATTACATTCTTGATTAAATTATCTTTCCATTGATATATAATTTTATGGTGCTACTCCCCCCCAAAAAGTGGTGTTATTAGCCATCAAACCTCAAAAATACACTTTTCCCAAAAGGTTTCCACAATTTTGGCCACTACTGTATATCTGAGATATATGAGAGATCCACCAAATTACAGGTAGTCCTCAGCTTACAACAGTTCATTTAGTGACCGTTCAAAGTTAACAACGGCACTGAAAAAAGCCACTTATGACCATTTTTCACATTTACAACCGTTGCAGCATAACAGGACATACTTTGAATGGCTTTCCTTCCATAGAGTAGTGTCGCCAATCCCAAAGGCATGTTGTGTTCTTCCTCTTAGCTCAACATTTTGACATGCGGCTTTGNATGGTTCGGAAGTGGTTTGCCATTGTCTTTTTCTGGGATATTTTTTTTTACTATCTCATCCATGCCAGTGGTATTTTCTCATAATCTCTGGTCCAAGTTCTAACCAGGTTTCTCATAATCTCTGGTCTAAGTTCTAACCAGGTTTCACTCTGATGAGTATTTTGAGGTCAAGGATTCATTCATTTTGAAATGCTCTTGATATCCATAAGTTTCTTTCTCTGTTTGAAATTACTCTTTTACCTGATTGGGTAGGGAGGAACAAAAGATCTTAAAGACTCTGGAGGCACGGCGCAAAGGTGTGGTTCCCATCTAAACCTACTCTAATTTCCTTCTATTATCCAGAGGCTCAAACCCACCATCATGTGATTCGGGAACAAGTCTGGATTCCAGGTGGAGACTCTATTATGATGTCTATCAGTATTTTCTCCCTGAGAACGATTTATCTGAAGCCACCTTTGTGAGTCACATGAAAAGAATGTCTGAAGCTCAAAGTATCCGGGCTCATGGATCTAAAGTAAGTCAACGCTGTTTTTCACTGCAGATGGAGTGAAGTTTTGGGTACTCTGGCATATGACTAACTTAAATGCAGAACAGCCCTCTTGGAAACTTGAATGGTTTCTTCCAGTGGGAATCTTTAGGTCTGTGTGTCATGATAGATAGATAGGTAGGTAGGTAGGTAGATGGGTAGATAGGCGGGTAGATAGGCAGAAAGATAGATAGAGGTAGGTAGATAGAGAGGTAGGTAGGTAGGTAGATAGGTGAGTAGATGGATGGATGGATAGATGGGTAGATAGGTGGGTAGATGGATGGATGGATGGATAGGTGGGTAGATAGGTAGGTAGGTGGGTAGATATATGGATGGATAGGTGGGTAGATAGGTGGGTAGATAGATAGGTAGGTAGGTAGATAGGTAGGTAGATAGATAGAGGTAGGTAGGTAGATAGGTAAATAGGTGAGTAGATGGATGGATAGGTGGGTAGATAGGTGGGTAGATGGATGGATGGATAGGTGGGTGGATAGGTGGGTGAGTGGGTAGGTAGACAGACAGACAGACAGACAGATAGGTGGATAGATGTAGATAGAGAGATATAGAGAGATAGAGCGATGGGATCTGTGACCCAATTTTTTTCTTTACGCGCCATCTATTTTTTATGTCCTCACAGTTGATGACGTTAACCAGTCAAGGTAAAACTGAGCTGTACTTCTCTTCGCTTCCTGGACAAGGCGTGATCTACAATGTCATTGTGAGAGATCCTAAGTGGAACACTTCAGCTGCATATGTGCCTGTTCACACATATGCCTGTAGCTTCTCTGCCTTGGTGAATAACTGCTACACCTTTAGTAAGTCAACGGAGCATCCATGGTTGTGTAGAGGCATCAACAGGTGGCCAAAAATGTCAAAATGGCAGATGCCACCATGACATGAAAACCCTTCTTTTTTGCATGTCTTTTGATGGAAGTTTAAAATGGGCAGGGTTTTCAGCCATGTGTAAGGCCGTTGTAATGCCAAACGGTCACTAACAAATGATTGAGGACTGCCTGTATCCTCCATAATTTAACATCCATCTTTATATTTTGAGAATAGAGCTGAGAAGAAAAGAATTATCAGAGGAATAAACCAGAGGAATTATCAAGAGGACGTTAAAAGTTGTGTTGGATGAGTTTTATTAAACTTTCTTAGAATATCAGGAAGACATCCTTGAAGTTAATAACAGCCAGTAATTGTGGAGGAGGATAGAGCTAAATTTAGGTAGATTTCTTAGGCAGTATTGCACATTGGTTATGGTGAAAATAGTCAAGATGGCGGCCACAACGGTGTAATAGAAGTTCTGTATATATAAAAAAAAACAGCCAGGGCTTAGGCCACATCATCGCAATCACCATTCCAATGTTTTGACCATATTGGATTTAACAACATGGGGTCATTTGTTTCTCCAAGTGGTCTGATAACTCTAGAAAAAATAAAAGGGTGGCAATTTTAGGACCTGTGAACTTACTCCAACTCCCAGAATTCCTCAGACAGCCATCCCAGCTGGGGAATTTTGGGAGTTGAAGTCCACAAGTCTTAAAATAGCCAAGGTTGGACCCCCCTTAATTTAATCCTTCTATAACCACCCTCTGGAGAGTTTTCCTCTAGTTAAGGAGGTGAAGCCATATTTGTTGATGAGAGAACACAATAATAAACCATAGCTTAATCCTAATTCTCTTCTCTATTTATAGGAAGGTTGTCCACTAAAATATTTTTCACCATGTTGGCTCTTCTTGGTCTCTTTATCTGTTTCTTCGGACACAGATTCTGGAAAACAGGTACTTTTAAGGAGGGGTGCTTGATTCTGGGGTAGACCTTTCCCATCAGGGTTGATCTTGCCCGGTGTCAATCCTATGTAATCGTTGGATTGATAAGAAGTCTAGGATCTGGAGTCTAGTTTATTGTTTTGAACAAAAACAAAATATAGCACACACTTCTCAATTTAATCCAGAAAAACATTTCATTATTGTCACGGAGAGAAGAATCTTTTCCAATGGGATTAAGAATTCTTGTTGTTGTTAGTTGCGAAGTCGTGTCCGACCCATCGTGACCCCATGGGCAACGTTCCTCCAGGCCTTCCTGTCCTCTACCATCTTCTGGCGTCCATTTAAGCTCACGCCTACTGCTTCAGTGACTCCATCCAGCCACCTCATTCTCTGTCATCCCCTTCTTCTATTGCCCTCCATCTTTCCCAGCATTAGACTCTTCTCCAGTGAGTCCTTCCTTCTCATTAGGTGGCCAAAGTATTTGAGTTTAAGAATTCTATGGTCCTTCAAATGTTGGAGCCCCAGTTCCATCCAGCTGGACCAAGATTGTCAGTATATCCAGTGAGATAGAAATAAAAAGATATAAGATGCCAGTTCCACGCCTTGTGCATTGTGAACTTGTGTGGGCCTTTATATCTGTAGAGTGAGACCTTCTCAAGATACCCCCTGGTTAGTGTCCATTTTTGGCACTCCTGTTTTCTAAGAGTGTCGCCTCCTGTCTTGTAGTGGACATTTGCTCAGGAACTGTGTTTTGCCACCGCTCACTGTGTGGGTTTAATCGTTTAATCGTCCTTTCATCTCCTGTTCAGTTCTGGGCCGCTTACAACTAAGAACCAATACAAAATATATCTGTAAAAAAAGATATAAAAGCATAATAAAAATATAAAAATATAAGGGCAAAGTGCGGTTATGATTTTGGGGAAAAGCTGAGCAAAGGCGAGAGATGCAACTGTTGTGATGAGGGAGCAAAAAAAGCAACAGAATTTTTGGGGTCAATTGCTGTCATAAGTTGAAGACTCTCTGTACCTATATATCCTAACATTCTGGAGAGAGAGAAAAAAAGACTTGTTTTAATATTTTTTTTTTAATTTTATTTTCCCCCCCTCCCCCTTAGGTTTATTCTTTAGCGGCTTCATCTTCACGTCTTTCTTTTTCTACATTGTCATTACGAAAACATCTGCTCTCAGCTATGATGGTGAGTTGAAATTTTATAGGAAGGCGAATCTATGTGTCCCAGGATAATGTTGCAGGATCCAATCTGGGTCGGTCACCCGGAACAAACGTTTTGTCTTCTGAGCTTTCGGATGTACTGGAATCCATTCTGAGGGAATTTTTCTCTACTGGAATATGTGCTTTGGGCTATTCTCCATGTGGTATTTATATTGTGCCTGTTGTGTATGGCTTTTTAGGTGTTGACTGAGGTGTGGAATAACACATCAACGACTTAATATCCAGCCATCAACACCCCAATCAACATCTAAAAAACCACACACAAGAGGCACCACATAAATACTACACACAGAACAGCCCAAAGCACGCACCCTCCTAGATCAGGGGTAGGCAACCTTGGCTCT